ACATCAATGTTTATAAAGAAGAGAGGACGAGGGCACCACCCATTTTCTCATAGTTAATTTTCCTTACCCCTCCACCTTTTGCAAATATAACCAAACGAATTACTAAAAAGATAATGAAACGTAACCCCTTCCAAAGCCACACACATTTTCGACAGCTACATTAATGAAAGCAAACCTTGTAAAAGACAGCAGGCTATGAACTCTGGTTGCGCTCAGCATCTGCATCACGTATCTTTTGGTATAGTGACGGGTCGGATCTCTCCAAAGCCTCAGGGGCATCAGCAAAGCATACGAATATGGTTACAACAGCACTGCGAATGGGCGAAAATAGTATGGTGGAAATACAAAGGGACATAAGAAAAGCAATTATACCCGTCGCAAGGTTCCAATCTATCAAACCGCTAGCAATACCCAACACCAGAGACAAACAAAATGACGATATTACAAGAGTTGGGTTTACCAGGCAGTCGTTGAAGAGTGCTTTACAAATACACTGACTGAACAACTCAAACGTACGCTTCGCGGCTTCGATGTATCCGCATCCGTAGATGGCCACATGCACGAAGGCGTAGGTGTTAAAATACTCGAGTATCATCTCAATGCAACCCAAAATGCAGTCCAAGATACACGCCAGAAAACTATCCTCCCTTCCCGAAGAATCAACGAGGCTGCGAATGAACTCGATGATGGCCACTAAGAGGCTGCCGAAGCAGATGGAGCCGAAACTCGTGGTCATAGCACGTGTAAAGGCGGCGAGCGTTGGGTTGGATGGCATGTTGCCGAAGCCAGCGAAATACCATGTCGCGACCAAGCCCGAGGCAGTAACGTGCAGCACGTTATCAAAAACCTGTGAAGCCCAATAATAGATAAAAATGAAAATCAAAATGATTGCCACGTCACCTTTGCCTTTGCGCCTGTGGTACGCTCGATCAATTGAGGGTATCATCATAAAGAATCCGACAACTGTGTACACAAAAAAGGTTATTATGGTTAATATGTTGATCAAAAAGATGGCCTTGTATCTCAGTATAACCCTTGCAGATGACCCTAGAAGAGCAGCTGCGAAGGGGATTCGTTTACGCGCGCAATACAAGAATGCTAGAGAAATAACGCAGAACAGCGCCATGATAACACATAGAGGCCACACGCGCTGCGTCGCACAAAATACGGCCACTGCGGCGAATAGGGCAGAATTCAGCAGATTCGCGATGTAGATAAACTGTTTCGGCAAACATTTCATCAAATAAATGAGAAACAGCGCCAGTACAGCAGACACTCCAGAGGAAATAGCGACAATGATGATACGGTGAATTAATTCTGACATGTTCAAAGTACTCCTACCGGAAACAGTAGGATCATTTTCATCAGGGGAAATCGGCGTAAAAGTGATGATGTTCACGACACCCCACACAAGAGGTACAAAGAATAGGATCAAGAACACACAAGCCGCCCAAACATCCTTGTAGCCTTGCTTCACGAACCGCTTCAGGTTAGGCTCTTCTTCGGTTTCCTGTTGACTATACAGAGGCTTGCCCTCAGCAGGCGGGATATTTAAGTCACCATAATAAGGGGTAGCCTCCGGGTACTGCTCAGAAAGCAGGCCGTAGCCGTAGGTGGGTGCCCCACCGGGTTTAGGGGGCTGGCCGTAGCCGTAGGTGGGTGCCCCGCCGGGTTGAGGGGGCTGGCCGTAGCCGTAGGTGGGTGCCCTGCCGGGTTGAGGGGGATAGTTGTAACCCGATGGGTTGTATTGGTTGTTATTATCGTTCATTATTTGATGTGATCAAGGTCTTTACTCACACAGCTATAACGAAAAACACCTTTTCCTCGCTTTATCGTGCGTAAGAGATCTGTTAGCGGAGCACCAGGTAATGAAAAGTAAGAGGGTTGCTTGCTTTACGCCGTCCATAGTGGTAATGCATGATAAACAGTTAGTACTAAAAAGTCAGTAGCCAAAAGGCCATGGAACATCCGAACACGGCGAACAAAGAATACAAAGGATACAAAGAATAATTTACCAAGTACCAACAGCGTGCATGCATGAAGATGGGCTTCCATGCACCAACATTTTCCCATTTAGCCGTACACAAACAACATTTCACACCTAGTAGAAGTTCACTATTCAGTACCCGATTGACGCTTCCCTCTTGCTTTGGGTTAGTGTTCTCAGAAAGAGGGCATCATACACCACACAACCTCATGAGCTTGGTTTCACAAACACTTTCTAGTGGGCGAAACTCCATACTGCCGACATCATTAGCCCCCATCAACGTCCCAGTCGATGCGACACAGTCCACAACAGTGGTGCCGGCTGACGCCCCCACATCCTCACTTGCCCCAGCTGTACATATTGCCTGCCTAGCCAGTCTTTTCCAGAACGCCAGCTCCTTCCCACCAGATCACAACACCCTCACTCTGACTTCGTGACCTTCCACGCTTGTATTTCCGTGACGTGGCCGCTTCCCTCCAAATGGTGTATGCTGTGACATTTGCAAGCTCGCATCACGTGCTCTCCCTACACAGAGGTGCATGTCCTGAACAAAGGGTGATCGTAGATCATCGCTGTCAGTCGTATTTTCCTTTTTAGCCAGATCAACGTTACCACAAATGAAGTCCTGCCTCTCCGCACCTTTTCTGCCACGGACATTATCAATTGCACTTACCAGTCCGCTTGCATTCGCCTTCCCCACACGTGCTCCTAAAACAACCTTCCCCAACCCAGACGCGAGCCCGCCCACCCTCGCTGTGCAAAGCCGTCTTTCAATGCCTCGACAAAACGCGACACCTCCCGCGTAGAAGCCCACAGCATCGAGCCCCACGAAAAGCCCAAGCAAGGCGTACGCATCACGCAAACTACGCGTGCAAAGTAAGGGGGAGGGAGATATTGCCTTAGTAGTGCCGGCAGTTAATACAGTGTCCCTGATCCCGTTACAAGGGGAGAAAGATGCAGTCCCATGGAGTTTAGCAGTTGTGACGGCTTTTTTTCTTGTATCAGCCTGCGAAACAGGTATTTCTACAAGGTTAGCCTTGTCCAGCAACTCATTTATTGTTTCACCGTTACTGGTTATTAGCTTAAATGATTTAGTTTGACCAAAACACTCATGCAGACGAGAATATAGAGAACGTATCTCTCTGGAGAGTTTCTTGAATTTTGTGCACTGGACACACTCTCTGTAGAGTTGATCATACTGAGTTTTAAGCTCCTCGTTCTGATATGGTGCATTGTTAAGTGTATTTCGTGCACATTGGCAGTATGATCCAGTAAAACACTCCGATAGTAAATAAGAATAGGGTAACCACATTGCAACTTTCCCCTCCTGTGGAAGCTTGATGAGTGTGTGAATTTCATTAAAAAAAGCATGAAGTGCTTTGTCGGCTGTCACTTTTTGAGATTCGCTCTTAATCCTGTGAGAAGTTTGTTTTTCGAGTATCGTGTAACTTCTTCGTGTGTTTTCGCAAAGCTGTGAACCTATTGCAGCTTCAAGATACCACTCGATGTCGATCAGCAGGGCTTGGTGAGGCTGCACCATGGAAGAGAGCTCCAGCGAACCCACAGCAGCTTGTGATTTGGCTGCTGTACTTTGTTCCCGGATTCTGCTATAATAACTCATCCAATTCTGAAAAAAAAGGGAATTTCCAAAAGAAATGCGCAGCAGTGCAGCATACCGCAACGGGGAGTGCCGTTGTGCCTCTAGCCCCTGTTGCCAAGCCATGAAGAGAGCTAAGTCAGGAATGGTTCGCGGTACAAGTGACGCCATTACCACCACTTCTATCCCCATAGATATCCCTTTGGAGCACCCACACCAACTCGCGTGGGGATCGCTTTGCGTGTGCGTGTTGAAGAAAAACGTTTCGTTCAACCAAAAAGCGAGTAATTGCGCGTCTCGAAGTGCTTGGTAAAGACAAGACTCAGCCCCTGTGCAGCATTGTTGTGCCGCGACCCGTTTCAACTCACGGCGATGCTTTAATCGCAAGTGTGAAGACACCTTTCCCTTCCTGGTGACCTCAGAACATGAACCTGAATTCTGTGACCTCTGTACTGAGGCAAGTACCTCAGACAGTGGGCTCACGCTCACTACAAGAGCTATGACGTGAAGGTCATGACGCGTAACAGGTTCTGCAACGAATGCGCATACAGCGCACTTGAGTTTATATAAGCGCTCTGCATCATTTAGAATCCAGCTGGGGTATTCAAGGGTTTCCATGATTCATGCCAAATCAATATCAATTTATTTTTTTATTATTGTCTGGGCTTTTATCATGCTAAAATAATTTGTATTTAGGGAAAAGCTCGATATTTACTTCCCACTCAAAGAAAAAAATAGACCTGCCCTCCAATAAGTTGCACTGTTTTCGCAAGCATATAAAGCTTACTGCTCGCCAGCAGGTCGATAAAACAAATGGAAAAAAGCAAGGGGTTGTCCCTGACAACACACACAGAGTTACTCCTGAAGGATATAAGGTAAAACCCTTAGATGGAAAAAACGGTGTTAATGTAATGAATTCGTCGGATGAGTACCGTGATATAATGACCAAAATTTTAAAAAAAGATGCACTACGCTGGCAAAAAGATTTGACCCCATCATAGATCACCAAAAGGGGTGTATCATTATTCTATCTAAAATGATTTTTCATTATTCAACGTGCAACGCAAACGACAAATCTAGTTGAAGTTATCTACCATTATCTTTTTTTCACGACTACCCAGCTGTTAGGAATAGCGCTTCCCGTTCAAAGGTGATCTACCAGTGTCCGCCTCCAGATGCAGCAATCTGCGTCTTTTTTTTATACGCTCCTTGTCTTGTTGTGGTCGCTGTGAGTCTTTCTCGTGTTCATAGAGCTGCAGCACCCGGTGAAGTAACTGTCGTGCATGACGGGATGCATCTTCACACCTTTTTACTTCATCAGCCTCTGCATCTACACGAGTATTTCGCTCACCTTGATAAGCATCCAGCACCAAGTTCACTACACAGGCATGCGTTGTATCATACTGTTTCTTCTTACTTTCTAAGAAGGCTAATACAGTGGGATATAAACCCAGATCTTCGGATGCAGCATCAGGATTCTGCTCTTCTACTAGTTCCTTTAGCGAGCAGTGGTCCTTTACAGATCCAGTGACACATTTATCCACAACCCCGTTCCTCTTTAGCTGGTCGTGAAAAAGAGTCATTGCTTTCCTTGACGACTTCAGAAGGAGATGTCTCCCAAGTTGCACGTAATCAACTGTCCCTTCCAAAAGTAGCTGCCTTGACCATCTACGTATTAACGCGGATGTTTCCATTGTAATCACAGGACTACTGTTAGGATTACTTTCAAGTACCTCGTTTTCTAGTGCTTCATAATTTGTATTCTGCCATTGCTGCACAATACTCTGATGAATAGTCGCTGAATAAAGGGCTCTATTAGTGAGCTCTTGCTGAACGCGATCATGGAATGCATCGGTGAAACCAGTGCTGTCAACGTCCCGAAAAGGGCAATGTGTGCGGTCATATACAGCAAGTCTTGGAAGCCCTGGCAATTCTGCAAGGGCCTCTTGCAAGATCTTTCCACTCTCTTGATGGTCAATTTTGTAGAGTGAAATCCCATCCGAGAGCATCATTTCACTCCTCATATTTTCTTGATATGTTTGGGTTCCTCCAGCACTGAAAACGTTATCGACGGTGTTCTTGAAACAGTCAAAATCAGTTTCGTCCTGAGTACCGCTCGCGCTATCGCTCCCGATCTCACTACGTAGGCTACTTGTAGGCGCTCCAACCAGCGCTGATTTTCCAGCTTCTATTGTCCGTGGAAGGATACGATCTAACTCCAGTTGCACAGACATACGCAGCTGATCGGACTTAACTTCCGGGTCGCTTGGAGAGTGCCCATAATGCTGCTGGCCAAGAGCGGATGACACCGGGTCCTGGAGTAGTATCCCGACGGCACATGTCTCGGGACCCCCTGACGAGAACCCATCAGCAATTTTCTCCTCATATCGCTTGCTGTCGTTGCTGATCCCAGTTTTAATTTGAACACCTTCAGCTTCGTGCTCCTTTTGCCTCTGAAGCACATAAGGAGGAGATATGGAGTTCGTTGGCGCCACAGGAAAGAAAGTCCGTATCGATGACAAATGGTTAAAATTGTGCGATGAAGCCATTGTAACACATTTCGAGTGTTGATATTGTCCTTGAATTTGCCGCGAAAATTCTGGCCCATGCGGATCCAACTGAGGCTTAACGCTTGGAAGCTCCAGTGGCGTGGGAGATGTACCATGAGGTCGCCACACACTCTCACCACTTTGAAGGAAATCATTGCAAACCGTAGCTGATGTTGTGAATGTTGTATCACCGGATTTAATGAACTCTTCTATATCTACTTTTAAGCTAAAAGCAGCAGAATCAATCGGTGCTGCATTACCAAAGCTGCTTGACTCTTTCGGGGTGCATTCCCGCTCATCGTCTTCCTCTACGAATATCTCCAGGCCACGCTGACGCTTGAGATACTCATGGTTGCGGGTTTCTCTACTAGCTACTTCATTCTTCTCGATATTTGAGGGTATATGAAGGAAACTTGGTGCGATATACCTCCTTCGCTCCATGACAATCGCTAATGTAAATTGCCAAATATATATTCGAGACCCGTATTGTTTCCAGAGAAAGACAGGAGGAAACTTGAAACGAGCTTTATACTTATTACGCTTCTATGCTGTCATCAAAAAAAAATCTGGAAGAGAGTATGTGCGCTAATAAGAACATGCGGAGCAATTTTCAGCTTTTTGTACTAATGTTACGCAAAATTTCGCTATTCGAATGAACTTACCCGCGAATGCAAGAGAGTGAAAGAGTACTACACCAAGGTAGGAAAGGTTTAATTTTTACATATTCAAGTCCAAGAAATATTCTGGATAATATTTTAAAAGGGTTTAAAGATTTCAAGGAATTATACTGAAACTGTGCATTCCCAATCCTAACTATAAATGATTAGCAGTATTCAATTTATTCTTTCTCACAATGAGAAAAAAACTATTATCACACCCTGCGTGCTTGACTCCTTCCCTCCCGCTTAAGGAAATTGGTACTATTAAGAAATTGATTGAAAAGTAGAAAAGGGTACTTCGGAATTACTCCCGCTCCCCTACCCCACTGCGGATTCACGTACGACCATTTGTCTCATTGATCTGCGCACACCCTCTTTTCCTTCATTTCAAACCCATTCTCTAGTCATTTGGTCCGTCCTCGCTTCACATTGGTAGTCAAACACGTCTTCTCGATGCTCGCCTGTGGTCTTGCTAGTCTCTGGCGTTCCCGTAGAATCGCTATCCTTGCCACCTCCTGTTGATACTCAAGCGCGCTTTGTTGAAGATTAGCTGCAAATTCGCTCGCATCTAAGTTAAGCTTGGTTAAGATAATCCAATACATAAACAAGTATTGCTCAATGCGCTGCACCATCCAGTAGCGAGCGCGACGCATCGACATGACTGTCTGACGAAGCGTTTTGTTTTCAAAGCATCCACTCCGTATCGCCTGAAGAATAGCATATGTTCCAATGAAAGTTCCAGTACGACCAACACCAGCACTGCAATGCACGAGCACGGGCGCTGCGCCCTGGTACGCATCCACGATCTTTAAAAGTTCGCAAAAGGCGACCTCAGAGCTGGGAACGCCGAGGTCTGGCCAACCTGTATACTGAACATGCAGCAGCGGCATGACATCGCCCCCACAGCGCGGCTGAATCTGTAATGGCCGATAAACCAATTTCAGCTCTTTGTCTACGTAGTATGGCTCCTCTGGGTTCATAGACACCGTCATATTCCCCCAAGAAAGGCTATTACATGTTTCACTAGACCTCCCTATATTGTCTACATCGCTGTTTCCAATAAGAGTAGCTTCGTTTCCGGTAGGCCAGTACTGACATGCCTTCTCAACTTCATCCTCGACAGTTTTGGTGAGCATAATGACCAGCTGGATCTTATACTTGTAAAGGGTGGCAAAGAAGTCAGAAATACCAGCTGCAGTAGGTGCCTGTGAGGCGACGAAGAGGGGAGCGTTTTCCAAATCAATAAGATTCCCGTTGATATAGAGAAATGGGTGGGACTCCGATCGTGTCCCAGCCCCTCTTGGGTCTACTGTTGACCCCGCAGGTATGCCACCGGCAGGAATCATGCTTGCCAAGATATTAGCCGTATGTTTAAAAATGGCCAATGTGCTCGAATTTTTATTACATCCGTTTCCATCTAACAAGGAACCCAGAGTTTTGCTTTCACTCTCTACTCCCTTCTCTTGACTTTTACTTCTACGGGTTTCCAATTTTTGGTAAAAAGACTCCTCCATCTTAGTTCCTGGGATTGGGGGAAAGAGAGTTTCCTCAATCGCCATGATATTGATGTATCTGTTAAGAGCCAATCCTCGGCCCCTCGAGGTTGTGAAGTTGTATTGGCTTGCATTTACAGTAGATTCTTCAATAACGAAAAACTCCCTGTGAAGCAAACGGAGCTGAGCATTAAGGGGTAGCCTGTAGCGGTTGAATTTGGGGTTTCGAGCGACATAGCAGTTGTTTCCATTTTCTTGTTTCATGGATAAGGTTGTCTCGATGTGAAAAATTATACTTTTTGACAGCTTTTATCGTACCCCTGATACGGTATCCGACACAGGAACGTTTTATTTTTTAAATTAAACGATTACTTCTGATGCACAAGTTGATAAAAACTGAATGAGGCTGCGGAGAAACTCCTGTTCTAGTGCTTACTTCTATGCTTATCTTAATGGAACCTTACGAGAACCTTAGAGAGTACCAATGCTTAATCAACCTGAGAAACAAATACAATGAAAAAAAAATACCAAACAAAGTGTGTGATACCTTACCCAAAAAACCTGTGAGCTAGTCGCACAGAATGAACTACTAAACTTTATCAACCAATAGCGCCCAATTAGAAAACCAAAAGAAGGTATTAAAAAAATCAATAAGCAGCAAAATGATCGATAGGATATAATTACATGAACATTTCAAGCATAGAAAACCGATGCAAGGCATTTCATAATCTTTCTAAGGTCAAGATTCGTTTTAATGCTGTCTCACTCTTTTAATATTCTAGCTATTATAGTACAACTTTATAATTCTTCTTTTACGGGACCTTCATCTCTACATGCACTTAGACTGACTCTCTGAGCATTTGTTATAGAGTTGTACCCTCCTCCTTGAAGTTTATTGATTAACGGTTTAGCTTCGGTGCGCAAACACTTGAGGTTTATACCACTAAGTAAATAATGATTCGCATGCCTCAACCCGCGGCTCAAGGCCAAGTCGTAACTCCAGCCCTGGAAGATCTTCGTGCCCCACTAGCAGCTGTATCTTGGTGCGAGCTCGTAGTGCTACCGAAAAGAAGACCCCATTTGGTGCCTCTGGGCAATCAATTTCGAGAAGTACCGTCCCCAGAGGAATTCTCTCTAGATGCTCGCGCAGCGCTACAACCTCCACGTCTTCTAAGGCGAGCTCCTTCAACTTCCCGCCGCGGTATATCATGCTCTTCACAAAATCAAGCGACACTTTTAGCAGCCTCGGAGACTCTTTCATTAGCCTCGCAAACAGCGGCGCGGCCTCGCTCGCGATGCGCCAGCCCTTATCGAGCGTCTCGAAGCTAAAAACTCGCAAGCCAGCAGAGACGACAATCAATGAGTCTGTTTTGCGAGCAAGAACACGGCGTGCCGTCTGGGAAACAATGCTGCAGATGGAACTCGTTGCGGCGCGTGCTTCACACTCACCATGGGGAGCACGCATAATCAGTAAGTCTTCTGGAAACTTTTCAATCTTGTAGAAATTGAGAAGGGTGTCGTGAATCACTTCGAGTGGCTGCACGAATTGTGGCGGAATTCTTTTCTTTCTTTCTTTTAACACAGAGCCAGAGAAAGACGACGCCACCTCCTCCCCACAGTCCTCGCTACGCTCTCTCTTTAACGAAGGGGTTTCCGTCAGAGGCACGTCGTACGCCGTTGCGCTACCTTGCACATCAGGTTTTGTAGCTGGCACCCTTTTATCACCTTCTGTATATCCCTCCTCCTTCGACAAGCTCTGTGAATCCTCTTCCTCGAGAACCCTTCTCTTCTCAATACGAAACTCCCTGGCCTTATCCAGCACCGCGATAAAGAAACCACCACCGTTGCAGTGACTAGGAAGGAATCGCATGCATAAGCTTAAATCTACCGCGTCCACGGTTGGGGAATGGTAGCCACCAGGTGTGTTCGGCGGGAAGAGAGCGGCATGCATCGACGGGCTAGGACGCTCAACGACATTGCCCTTGGCATCGGTAACAACCCATGTAGACAGACCAGGCGCACACTGCAAAAAAGGAAGCAGCGAACGGGCATCAACAAGCTTCATGGAACCGTTCGTTCGGTGAATAATCTGCGCCACAACCGCCTCATTTTCAACTGGATTCAAGGAGCAGGTGCTGTAAACCAAACGTCCACCCACCTTGAGTAAATGACAGCATCTCAGAGCAATGCGAATTTGGATCCGCTGCAGACTCATGGCTTCGCGAGGGGACCAAATTTTGAAGATATGTGGTGCCTTCCGCAGTGTTCCATCACCTGAGCACACCACATCGCATAGAACCTTGTCGAAGCGCAGAATGCTCCCCACATTACTATCTTCCTCCAGCGGTGAATGCCTTTGCAAGTCCGCCTTATTACGAATGTTGCCCTCCATAACGATGTCAGGGAAGTATCGGGCGTCGTGGTTCGTAAAAAGAGCGAACGGGAACAGGAGCTGCATTCGCTTGACTTGATGGACTAGCATATTTGCCCGTTTGGTGTCGAGTTCATTCGCGACAATAAGGCCCTCGCTGGCGTAATCGAAGGGAAAAGGCAATGCGGGGTCATCCACATCCCACGAAACGACCTTGTGGCGGCCCAAGGCAACCAGCATCTGCGCCGTCTTAGACCCTGGAGAGGCGCACATATCCAGGCAAACATCGGTCGGCTGGATGTCGAGCAAGAAAGGAGGAATCATGGAGACCTCCTCCTGCCGCGAGATCGTACCAAGGGCAGTTTGGCGAATCATGTATCGCCGCAGCGCTTGCATATTGGACTGCTTGCGGAGGGCCTCCTTATCTCCCAGCACGCGCCACGCCATATTTTTGATCGGGTACCATGGTATCGGCTCCACCATGGTGTGATCAAGCGACTCCAGGTAATCCCGAACCTCAGACGCAAGTGGATCAGTGTCGTTGATCCAGAAAGTAACCGGCAATGGAGTTCGGAACAGCATCATTTCCTCATCCCAGCGTTCTAACGCTGTCGACGAGGCCCCACCTTCACTGTTTAAAACGTGGCCAGCTGGATGAACAGCATGACCTGTAGAATTTGATGGGTCCGAGGTGGTTCGGTGAAGGCTGTCTTGATGGGGTTGTCTATGTATCTCAAACGGCACAGCCCCGGACTCCCCTAATCGTTGAAGTTTGCCATAGTAATTTTCGAACAATGTATTGCGGATCTGGCGCATCTGGGCATGATGTTGAGCGCCTGTCCCGTCACCATGCTCGTTGGATTGCGGAATGCGCACCTCACGGCGATGCTTACTGAAGTTTTTTAGTTTTTTATTTTTAAAAGATGCAGGCATTTATCTCCGTGAGATTGCGTATATATTCTAAAAAAAGAAAAGGGTTCTTAAGTTAAAAGGTACTGCCGATACGAGCGCTCCATATCATATGCAAACCATACAAACTCATGAAAGTCGTGAAACCGCTACTCATTTATGTCGTTCAAAGCAAAGAGTAACTGAATACAAGTTACATGTATTCGCAGTATCCCTGAAAAAGTTATATTTACATCTAAATGCAAGCCATGTAAGCAGTAAATATTGCTATCAGATCCATCTTGGCTATACGCTTTTCTGTTTACATATCCAAAAGTTATAAAAGATTCGGGATAATCTCCGTCTAATCGTGTTAAGTACGTATTTTTTCTCTTCAGCAACAGGAATCGATCTATTACTCTGTGGCCATTTCTACTTCCCCTAATCCTAGTCACATTCCAGCCTATAGATATCCATTTATGGAATCTTAGATCTCCGCAATAACACCACTACCATCCAATAAAATCGGACGCTCAGGTGGACCCGACCGGAACACCAGGAAGTGCCGCTTATCAATCTGGAAATTCGCCAATGTTTCCGCATCACTGGTGATGTTCCCTCCAAAGTGCGCCCCGACAATAACATGCCAAACACCGCCGTACTTTTCGTCTAGCTTCCGCTTAAGCTCCGTCGCGATTTCCTTGTCACTGAAACTCTTAACCTCGCCAACAGCTTCCCATGCGAGGGAAGTGTTAGGTGACGTGTTTTGCGCCAATACCTGCTTCGGAATCACGGCTGCAAGGCCAACAACGTCAATGGCGTCGTGCGCCATCTGAACAATTTCCTCAGTCTGCACCGGGTTCGTGTCGTGCTCGTGCAACGCAACACAGCACGCGGAGCGCTTCCCCGCGCGCGTAGTCGTCGGCTGCGGCGGCACGTCCCCCGCATCGATCTCCTCCATCATCTCGTCCACCTCAGCCCCTTCGCCTGTAAATCTACGGTCTTCCTTTCAAAGTCACGCGTGTATTATAGATAAATGAGGGGAGAGAGAAAGCATGCATGCATGTGTATCCGACACGTTGAATCATGCTCAAGGCACACTAGTCGAGTATTGCTTCTTCTCCATCCACTCCAAAGAGGCACACAACCGTCGCCTTCAACGCCGTGCACCGACGCTACGTGGTAGGCAAAGGGGGGAAAGGGACTCGCACGCGATGTATACAATAGTCATAGCAGATCTTGGTTTGGTATAAAACAGTAGGTATCGTCAGCATATCCTATCACGTGGTGAAGTTGCTGCGTTGAAATCATCCCACATCGCGCAAGTCAACAGAGAAAGAGAAAGAAAACAATCCTAAAAATGGAAAAGATGAGCACGTATAGAGCTCCCCACACCCATCTGTTCACTACATAACACCACGCGTGCTACACACAGCGCCCTTCCTCAGACTTCACACACACTCAGCTATTCTTCGCTGCGCATGAATCACCCTCAGCATAACCACAGCAGTGTGCGTAAGAGGGTGGGATTAAAGCAGCGTCTCTGTGGGCACCACTCTACGGCATTCGTCCCATCGCCTCACCATTCTCCAGAACTCACCTCTCGCACCCCCTCTTCCGTTCACCCTCACCACACCACACTTTCCACATCCCCCACTCGCACCGGTTAGTATTTTCAGATTAATTTTCTACACAAACTAGCAAATGCCATTGGATTTAATCGTCATGATCATCTTTATTTAGCCTAACTTTTGGTATTCCGCGCAGGCATAGTACTTCCAGATTTGAGATGATATTGTGCTCCTTCCTTGTTTTTAGTCTAAGTATTTGTGAACGAAAGAAATTAAGGACTGATTAATCTTTTTTTAGCTCTTCTTGCTCTACATCCAACATATGCATAGAGGGAGAAACCCTTGACGAAAAGGTGTATTTAATCAAACTCTTTGTTTTCTTCATCATCAAAAATCGCTTCTTTAACCTGAGCTTGTAGACAAAGAAATATGTGCCCATCATTCAGGCAATAATTTCTCACTTTTATGAACATCGACACACACACCCTATACGCCTTCATCAGCATGCAAGTTCGTTAGTTACCGCCACTCTTCTTTTGGGGACCTTCCCTTGATAAATTTTATTTCAAATACAATATTGTCAGCGCTCCTTTAATCACTCTCTATTCCCCTATTTAGAAAGTAATGATAATTGCAATAATATTATTTCCTAAACAAGTTTTTTCTTAATTATAATAGATTTGAGAGCGTGGAATTGTGCGTAAACCGTCGCTATCATAATCCCCAGTGTGAGCAAGGATGCGATCCACACTCTTGTAAATGTGCTTTCTGAGGTTATACGCATGCGGCCCTCTCGGTTCAGTGCATATATCATGTTCCTTTCCACGGTGTCCAGTTGATCATTGATCACATCAACGCCCCATTGTAGATCATCCAAGTACTCTTTAGACTGAAGAACAACTTTCACCTCACCCCCAAAGTCACGAAACGAGAAAACATCCATACCATTAATCGTTTCTCGAGCCTGATTTTTCATGCTCTTCTTCCGAGAGGGTGACTCCAAAACCGAAGTATACGACTGATCCACATCAAACGAAACCGCGATCGTTGGGCTCGTGGGGGTCGGTTTGTAATTCTTAGGAGACACGATCTCGGCGCAGAGCAGGTAAGCCCCATTTATTGCATCGGTTGGGACCGGTATCGCAAAAATATTTTCACCCCCCTTCATCTCCAACGACTTGATCACCTTTGAGGCGGGGTTGTAAAGCGTGACGTTAAGGTTGATAGGCCCGGCCGGACGATCATGCCAATTATAACGCCCTGTGATGAAATTGGTATCTGAAGTAATTTCTTCAACAAAACACACCTTTGGTTCATCGTCAAAGGTGTACTTCAGTGCGTGGGCTGTAGGAACACAAAACGCCACTGCAAGTAAAAGCAGACTTGCGGCAAGCAGGGGTAAAGGTATCTGGAATCGCATTTGCCTTAATATTAATTTGTGGTTCTTCTCTTATTATCTTGTAATACTCTTTTTCTCATATAAAATATCCTTGAATTATTCAAAATAAACGACGTATAAAAAGATTGGCATAGTTATAGAGTAACTCTTCAAAACACAATGCATAAACAGACGCAATTCTTGATGTTCTCAGACATCATGAATTTGATTATGATTAGCGCATCATGTAGACCTCAAACCAATTTAAGGAGGAATAAAGTATTCCGAACGTAAAAGAGAGTAGAGCTTAAGTAAAAGCTGCATGGGTTGTTAAGTGAATATGTATAGAAAAGGGAGGAATAGAATTATGTAACGGGCTACTCGTTTTCAATAAAAATCAACAAGATATAGCTAGCTGAATATTAATATGTGGTGATACATGGATGTGTAGATATATGTATATATGTATATATGTGTATATTCGTATGTATATGTTTATGACAAAATGATATTGCACACACAAGCTTAAAGGACTCTGCAAGGACCGTGAGTATATTATTTCAACAGATTAAATTATTCCCCTTTGGGCATAACGCAAAGGAAATATTTAGAGAGAACTCATTAACTTTGACGCTGATCATGCATTGGTAAGCCTGGTAGCACGTTTAAAAAAAATTCAGAAATTGTTAAATAGATTGAAAAAAAATCACTACCACGATATTGTAATGTAGCAAACCCTCGCTTTCTTTTATTCATACTCAAGTTCAACTGCGCCCAAGAGGAACATAGAACTGCCTATGACATGGAAAGGAATGAAACGACAAGAATTTCTATTCAAACCTATGTTATACAAACTTCTTTTCTTTTTCACACTTTTATGAGAATTATTTTCACAATTTTCTTCAGTTGATGTTAATTTGAAAAAATAACGAAATACCTCTGATTATGTGCGCAAACACAGGAATAGTGCAACTAAAAAGGACTGTAGCCACAAAAAAAATCACTAGAGAATATGTTCAATACATCTGCTAATACTACACACATATCGACACCTTTTGGTATAGGTGTAATTTTAATCTTCTTAAACCCCATACCTCCTGCCTTTCAAGGTCCCATTTACGAAACGAGACTAAAGCTAGAAACACACATACAAACATAATTGATCCAATCATAACAATTGTTGTTGTCTCACAGAAATACATACACACACACGTTGAGGTGATTAATGCCACAACCTTACAGGGTCTCCTCTAGGTAACGTGGTAAATCTTTCCGCTAACACAAACAGTTGGGTCTCGTCACAGCCGTAACGATCACCAGCGATACCGTTCCGATAATGTAGCAAAAATAAATGATAAAAAATATTTCTTAACAATTAAAAGTTGTGCGGCTTGAAAAAAATATACAAAAATAGAGTTGTGTTTGCATTTAAACACTACATATGCACACTTCAAAGCTCTATTGCGGATAGCTCGCTCATAAGTCTCCACAAAAGTCAAGTAGCAATAGGTACAGTAAAATTGTCCAACCCATGCATCAGCGGGACCCCAACGCGTTCACGAATGCACGCATGTACCTTCTGGCTAAAACTCATCATCCCATGCATTAATAACTTTTTCCAGCTCCAAAATATCATGAATAATCTTCAGTGAACCGTTTCGATAGGCCTCTTGGTAAGGTTCTTCGTCAGGCAGCGTTTCACCTCCAGGTACACACCAGACCGCTTTCCAACCCAATAGTAAGGGCTCCCTCAGATTTGTGAGTGAGTCATCCACCATAGCAATCCTGTCTGGATGTAGGTTCATACGCTTGTGTAATAGTAGCCGCCGGGCGCGCTCAGCTCTATGCTTTTGATCCCAGCTCTCATACGTCTCGACCTCGTCCACCTCGTCATTCTTTCCGCTCGGAACCTCTTTTTTCAGAAGGGAGGGAAGGTCGTCTGTCATCGCTACGGGCTCCGCATCGAGAGAAGGGAAGTTGGTAATGGAGGGGGCGACACCCCATTGCATTTCATCCCGCATAATGTCTTCTTCAAGCGCGCGGTATATCGCTTCATAGGCTCGCCGTGCGGGTTTGTTGGTGATTTCTGGTTCGGTAAGCCGCCACTGATCCTCGTAGCTGAAACCAACCCAATCCACATCTTCCTCGTATCCGTCCATGTCGTAGCTGTAGTGATAGTACTGGTTAAGTGACGCCGTCTGTCGTTGACGTGTGAAGACAGACCTGAGGCCGAGAGACTCGAGAATTCGGCGCGCGTGTGAACGATTAGCATTGGTAAAGAAGTACAAGTAATGCCGCTTACCATCCCCACAATCGATCGCGCTTGTTGAAGAAGCATAAGCACCGTTTACCAAGATATGATCATCCTTTTCATCTGATCGGGTAGTCACATAATCGGCACCTTTCAAACGGTTCAGCATATCTTCGAGATGCACATTTACTTTTATCTTATGGTACGAACACTGATGCATATAATCAGTAAAGTCCTTTGCAGAAACACCGTGATCTTTAAGAAACTCTAACAAGGAGATGCCATTGGACAAATAATGTTCCCATGGGAGTGTTTTCATCGTTTCCATTGAGAGATCAGTGCATTCACGAATAAACTTAACAATCAGTGATTTTATTACAGTATCAAAACCGGTCTCACTGTATTTGTAGAGGGTGTTATCGATGTCAATGAGGAGGAACATGGCAATGGGTATTATTTGTCGTACAAAATGTTGTACTACTTTCTTTCTTCAGTGTAATTTGATTCCTTTGAGGGGGTGAGCGGGGGCGGGGAGGCAATGTGCTACGTTTTAATGTTTGATGTCACTAAGATTCAGTGGTTGCAGGTTGGAAACAGGGAAAGGTTAGACGAGAAAGAAAGAAGGACCATCAATAAAGGCCCAATCCATGTAACTTAAATAAGTCGATAAAGAAAAAACAGACATCAGAAAATACTATTCATTAACCGTATTAAACTAGAGAAAGGGGTGATGAAACTAATAAAGATTCGGCATTTAATTTCATCCTCAGTGTAAAAACAGCATTTATTAATAGCATAAATCCACTTTTTATATTTACTCGGTCTGTTTTACACATGTTCCATCTAACGATTCCTTTTCTTTGTATAGGTATGAAAACATTGTGAATTACAACTTCCACCTTGACACCTGCTTTACCTTGCTTAAATATTTGCAAATGATTAACTTATTTCAAACTTGCTGTCTGGCACGCTTTGGAGGAACTACGGGGTTTTCGTCTTCGTCACTGTCCACAAATTTTTTGTAATACGAATTTTCAGTGCCCTTGAAAGCTTGCGTGCCATCACGAGCACCAAGACCAAAACAATTACCCCCACTTACACTGTTTCCTCCTTGGGGGTTGAAAGAAGGAGCTTCACCCGGCATGCGAAGCCTCGGGGCGTCGCGCCGTCCGCTACCGAAATTTCCCATCATATTTCGGTTACGCTTCGGTGCAGAGTAGCGGAAATTTCGTGCATCTGCCCACTCCTGCATCCAGGTCGGCACCGTTTGCTGGGTTCGTTCGAGAATCTTAACGAGCTCTTTAATGGTATCAGGGCCTATTTGCTGCTCATGTTTGGTAATCATCGTGTAAGAAGCACCCTTGGCTCCAGCACGGCCTGTGCGGCCGATACGGTGGACGTAATCATCGATCTGCATTGGAAAGTCATAGTTGATAACAACTTCAAGCTCTTTGATATCCAGGCCACGTGCCGCTACGTCGGTAGCCACCAGACAGAGTCGTGAATCACGTCGAAAGCGTTCGAGAATGAATTCCCGTTGTCGCTGCTCCTTATCCCCGTGGATAGCCATCGCATCCGTGCCAATGCGTTTTAATTGATACTCGAGATAATCTGCAGTTTTCTTCGTCTTGCAGAACACGAGGACACGGGTGTTACGGTGTTTCTCCATAAGCTTCTTCAACTCGTCGAACTTACCTGATTCCTGAGTCAGAATGAAATTCTGGGTGACGTCCTTGTTCGCCAGTAGCTCCGTACTGCCGATGTGAATGCGAATCCAGTCCCGCTGAAAGTTAGATGCAAGTCGCTGAATTTCTTTCGGCCAGGTGGCGGAAAACATGAGCGTCTGACGATCTGGTCGAATTTGGGAGCAAATCGCCCGGACCTGTGGTTCGAAGCCCATGTCCAACATGCGATCCGCCTCATCTAGCACCAGGTAGGTCACCCGAAGGAGATTCACACGTTTGATTTGGATGAAGTCGATCAAACGGCCAGGGGTGGCGACGAGAATGTGGACCCCGTTGCGGAGCATCCCAAGCTGGGGGCCTTTCGGCGCGCCGCCGTAGACGCAGCCACAGCGAAGGTGCTGCGGGAGCACCTTCGCCGCCTCCTGCTCGATCTGCTGCGCCAACTCACGGGTCGGGGCGAGGACGACGCACATCGGCCCGTCCCCTGGCCGCAACGGCTCCTGAAGTGCGATGTGGGCGAGCGCCGGGACCACAAACGCGAGCGTCTTCCCCGATCCCGTCTTCGCGACGCCGACGAGGTCCCGCCCGGCGAGGAGGACCGGCCAGCACTGCGCCTGCACCGGCGTCGGTGCTTGGAAGCCCTGGGCGGCGAGTTTCGTGCGGAGGTACGCAGGGACGTTCTCGCGCGCGAGCTGGTCGAACGCGATTATGGGCGCGGGGCAGGCGCCTTTTTCCGCGAAGATGGAAATCCCATGCGTCTCGCGCCACGCGGTGGCCTCCGCCTCGGTTAACGCGGCGGCCCCCCCCGTGCCGCCCCCCTCCGTGGCGAGCATCGCAAGGGTAGGATTTGGACTTCGCGGCGGCCGCTCGCTGGATCGCATCGACATCTACCACGTTCCATTTCGCCGCCACAATCGACTTCGTCGCCCAATCAATCGGTTCGATCGCCTTCACGTTGGGACCCCCACCGTTGCGCATGTCCGCAGCCGTCGAGTGACGACGCACCGGTCTGCCGAACCCTGAGAATGGATTATAACTCTGTTCTGTCATTTAATGAAAGCAACACGTTTTAACTTCCTTTTTTGTATGTATTCAAATCAGATAAAGGGAATGGACAAAAAAAAATGAGAAAAGAAAAGACAAAAGAAAATGGTAAATAGGAATACGAATCCTCGCGTCTGCAAACTACATCTAAGGGGAGGGGGGTCATTTCTGAAAATAGACGATCGACTTTAGGCATCGCACTATTTTTTTCTAGACTGGAATAAAAAGTAACTCTAAAGAAAAGCCACTCATGCAAAAAGGAAAAAAAGGCACTCACACTCAACATAAATGAGGAAGAAAAAAGGACTCCGTCATAACGTAATAGCTGATCTTGGAACGAATCAATGGAAAAAGAAAAAAGTATATATTGATGCATAGAACCATGTATGACAAATGTTTCCTAGTTATATCAGAAGTCACAAAAAAAAAAGGTAAACCTCTCTTTCTTTCTTTAAATATATATACAGTTCATTTCATGCAGTTGCTTAACTCTAGTGTATTCATTACTATCATCCCCCCTATATTCGCGTTAGATGAAGAATCTATATCGCTTGCACAACTGGCTAAATGAAGACCTTCAATTAGCCTAGAAGATCTTCAGTAATAGTTCCCTTGTTAGTGTAAGAGAGACCTGGTGAAACACACGTTACTGAATCCAACTCGCCCCGTGAGTCAGCTTCTTTAGTCTTTGCATTGCTATCCAGTTTGACACTTTGTCTTTTTGATAGAAATTAGAGGCTTCAGATGTGTTATAATAGAGCGCGCAGCCCCCACCATCTCTTCCCTGTACGGCGAATGTAACCCAAGGCGATCCAGCACGGCCTTTTGCTCTGCCATCGTAATTTTGAGTGTCCTAAGTTCAGCAACAAGCTGATCGTAGTCATACCTGCATTCGTCGGAACCCTCTTCCTGACGAGAAGTGCACCTCTTCCCATCTGCCGACATCAACACAGAACACGGATGAGTGATGGGATCCTGAAATGGTAGTGCAGGAGGTACCTGGGAAACGGGCCCCTGTCTTGTGGCGGTCGAGCTCTCCAAAGCCTCAGCGAGATGTGTAATCTGAGCTTGATAATAAGTCTCACGCTCGAAGGCATCTCGAAGCTGGTCTTGTAGTTGGTCACACAGACTATGCAGCTCCTCGCATTCAACCTGACGTCGATGGGCAGCCAGACTCGCATCCTCAAGGGCCTTTCGAAGAAGAACGACTTCTTGGTCAGTGTGCGAGGCCACAGTATGCACAACGCTTTCCATGCAGTAAGCATCCTCGCTTTGTGTCGCCTCCTTTGAATCTGCCACGTGAATCACATGATCGTCGCGTTCACTCGATAATAATAGAATATTGGGGCTAATTGCTGGAGTTTCTGAGGAACTTGAAGTATCGGATTCCGCTTTTGAGGGCAGAAAACGGGACACAGAATCCCACCGAGCTGAGGGATACGCTAGATGCATGGCTCGGTTAACTGTCGTGCACTTCACAGCCGTGCATGAAACTGTGTGCGGTTGTGTAGGTTCTCGGTCAATCTCGTGGCTTTCTTCACCCGGTCTGGGGAAGCCTTCCGCTGAATTTCGGTTCGAACCCTGTAATGCAAACATTACAGGTAAATCCAAAGGGGCCTCGCGTGGTTCCGAGTGTGCCATGAGCTTCTTCTCTCTCTCCACTGAACTACGAGTCTGCAAAGGGGTTGGCCCGGAACCTGGAAGCGATGAAGCGGCAGAGAGTCGCGCCCGAGCGTATTCGGCTGGTGGACTGGAACTACCTTGAGATGCCGAGAACGACACAGAGGTGGGGCCGCCATGGCAGGGCCTCCGGTTTGGTTCCTTGTCATCGCTTAGTGAG